TNGCGAAGCTCCCGTTCATCTCCCGTAGGGGCTGTCGGGTGCCGGGTGCGGGGGTGCCCGGTACTCGGCTGTTGGTCCGGTGGTGAGGCGGCGCAAGGTGGCTCCTGTGCACCGCTCACGGTGTGTCCGAGACGACGTCCTGTGGGATTTTCCCGGGAATGGAGTGCCGTCCTATTAACAGGATGGGTACCGGCGACGGCGAGCCTTCGGTGCGCACTGTGTGGTACCGTGGGTTTCGTGGAGTCGGAATGGTGGGGCTCGATGGGGTTTAGTCGGTAGTCGGTTTTGCGGGGTAGCTCTTGGTGGCTGACGCCGTGCAGTGCCTCGTGCGCCTTTCTCAAGGCGTAGTCTCCCGGCGTGAATTGGGAGAAGAGGAGGACCCCTGTCTTCTTCTTCTCCCTGTTCTTCTGTGGAGGCGCCGGAGTCCGACATAACCCGGTCTCTTACCCCCCTCGACCGGGTATCCGTAAATGGAATCCCCAGCGTTAAAAAAAAAAAGGTACCTACTTACTGAAAGAGTCCTGCGTGACTTATGTACCTACTTATATATATTTTTTAGACGAGAGAGATTGAAGAGCATAAGGTTTCTAACCCAACCTAATAAAATCTTAGATAAATTCACACAATGAAATCAAGTGTATCGTCGTGACCACATTGATTTTAATGCTTTTAAAAATAAAAGCTTTTAAATATGTACAAGTTATTATGTGTTAAGTTTTTCAAGTGAACAATAAAGAATAAATATTTTTAAGTACAGTACTTACGTACATTAATAAAAAACCTACTTTTTACTTGTATCTATTGTTATCAAAATTAAATTATAAGTACTTGACTTGACTATGACTATGTGACCCTCTCCTGGCACCAAAGCTGGATCCGCCCTTGCGCGAGCGTCAGAGCGCGAGAGTAGCGTCCAATATTTTAATGAAATATTTAAAAAAATATATACGTCGGAGGAGCCACAGTTATTAACACCATCGTCAGACATCGTAGGAGCGAATAGGGTGATCGAGCTAAGATAAATATTGAGTACACTAATCGCGTTTAATTTAAAATATATATAATATAAATGTTGAAGATGTCGCATCTCTTATACACAGCATTCCCTATTACAAGAGCAATCTGATTTAAGGATGAAAAATGAAGAAAATCATAATACTTCGAAAAAGAAGTTTCACTTCATTCACGTGCACCAAGTTGCACGCGCACCGCTTTTTCTTTGTGTTTTTGTGTGTGATAACTTTTTTAGTATTAATGTGTCGATTTGACTATGTAGACAATTTTTACTAAAATAACACGCAGGAAAAAAAATGCGGCGAAACGAATAGTTAAAGTTTTTTTTTTTACTAAATATTTTGTGTGATCGACTGTACCCAAACAATTTGCAGTGTGACGTCACAATATTCTATTACGTCACAGCTCCGGTACGCCTCGGGCCTGTCTGCTGCTAACAATTTACATGCAAGTTATATTGAACGCTGTTATGCGAAACACAATAATAATTGCCATGTTTATAGTGGAAGCGCACGTGGTCTTCGTGGTAGGAGATTTGATCTCGTAACTGACCTTGAAACGATTCCGGAGTAGCTATTCATTTGACGAAACACTACGTCTATATTTGATCCACAAAAAATAGAGATTTGATATTTATCACACGATGCTATTCCATCTACGGTGAGAAGAAGTGAACATGAATTAAGCGCGTAATTGTTTAACAAAATTGGTATCTGCCTGCTGGATTTGAATACCGACATATTCGCACCGCTTGATGAGCGCTTTCCGGGCTTTTTATCTATTAGACCTCTCTCTCTCTCTCTCTCTTCGATTGGTCCCTCATTACTGAGGATCGTGACTCCGTTTGATTCCATCAACTAGCTGTTTCCATCAATCCCATTGTGTAGCTTGGTGGAGTGCGTCGCTGACAGGTATTTTTAGTTCCTCCGCTATTTGGTCCGACCATCGTTTGGGACCTCTACCCCTAGGCTTTGTTCCCTCGATTTTACCGGTCACCACAAGGCGTTCCAAATTGCTGGTATCCCTGCGTGCATCATGACCAAAATACCGCAATATTCTTTGTAGGCAGGTTGTGGATAGACGTTGAGTCTTTTTTTATTTTTAACTGCTTGAGAATAGAGATGTTGGTGCGGCGGGCCGTCCATGGTATGGATATATATTTAGGCCACAACGACTTCATAACTCAGTCATAAACAGTAGCTGTATTCTGATCGTATTTTCGTGCCCCAAAAATTAAAGATATCTTACTGGATTACTCGCACCCCCGGCCAGCCTATGTCTGCTATTAAACAATTATACGTTTTAATTTCATTGTTCGTTCAAGCAATACAAAATATAAAAAAGTGTACACTATAAATAATATATGGATTTACCGTCACCTAGAAACGCATCGTAACATGGCGCGCTTAAGACGAATAGCCTAAGTGAAAGCGATAACTGATTCATTGTTTTTTTACAAATTTTAACATCTAACAGTCACTCAGTAGTCAATCCTTCAGTCTTAAGTCGTACACAAAACTGTTTTTCAATAGTTATCTGAAATAGTTATTCTGTTTTATTCTTATCTATCTTATTTTTTATTTATATTATATTAATATTTATATAAATAGTTTTCTGCTTTCTGGATGAAGTTGCCGTTTTACTAAATTGGCCATTTGAAACATAATTAATGTATGGCAATATCATAGATGATGATCAAATGAATTTTGTTAATTTTTTTTATAATAAATGCAAATCTATTTTCAAATTCAGTAACGATGTCGGTTTGGTTTTTACGGCATTTGTATCTTTCATCAATGTGAGCGTGATAGAAATACCAGTAATAGCAGCTTTGTCACTCTTCAGACCGGAAAGCGTGGATGGTAGTAAGTACCCGTGCTGACCTGCTATATACCCCATCACAAGCAATTATTATATATATTTTAATACGCTTTTATTAGCTTCAGACGTATGTATGTAACGGAATATGTGACCCCCTTCAAAACGTCGGATTAACTCGAAATTTGGTATACTTGTTAAGGACCGAAAATAATTAAATATTATAAAAAAATTGAAAAAATTTAAATTCAACCAAAAAATTAAATATAAATAATAGTTTAAAAAAACTAACAAAATACGCTTTTATAGAAAATCCAACTAAAAATAGAAAATAAATTTTAATAAATTTGAATTAAAAATAGTGTAAAAAAAATATATTTTATTATAAAAAAAAGTGTGGGGTGCATAGTATCAGTAGTTATAAATATTTTATGAACAGATATGAGTAGAAGGGTTATTTTGATAATATCCTGAAAAGCACCCCACGTATTTTGTTAGTTTTTTTAAACTATTATTTATTTTATTTGCCCTTGTAGGCAGGCGAGCATACGACCCACCTGATGGTGAGTGGTTACCGAAGCTCATGGACGTCAGCAATGCCAGGAGTAGAGCCAAGCCGCCTACCTTTAAGTACTCCCCACAAGCCTGGTTTGAAGAAGGACATGTTATGGCGCTCGGGGAGCACCGTAGGAGCTCATTCCAAACCCAATTAGAAACGTAATCAAATTTGGATTTTTTGTATTACACAATGATATGTGTATGATTCTTTGAAAGTTTAAGCTTAGTTAGAAACATTGGTACCTGCCTACTGGATTTAAACACAGCTTTAATCACATTGGTTGACAGGACTACAGAGCATCTTAACCTTTAGGACACTTGATAATTAGGTTTCTTTTTGATAACTCAGGTAGGTAGACGAGTAGTGGGAACAAATTTTAGGGCTACTACAGAAATATAGATAGCTAAACGTTAGTATTGCTACCCGGTTCGAGAGATAAAGATAAATACTTAATCTTTTTTTAATTAATATGAACGATAAAGTCAGCTAAGGCTTGTTTCACATGATCACTGATGCTGTATAAACATAAAAATAATTAAACAATTTTGCTTAGAGTACTCAGTGGTAGGCAGCAGCTTGGCTGTACCGCTGACAATGCTGGTGTCCATTAGCGACGGTAACCATTCACCACCAGGTGAGCCGAATCTCCGTAGCCTGGTAGAACAATAAATTACGTGAGTAAGGAGTTCTTTGTGTATGTTTGTAATCCAAGAATTTAACTGTCTTATTAACTTCATCAAACAGGTCATTAGGTTATGTAAGTACATGAAAGCACAGTAATGCTCTCATTGAAAAATATTTGCATAGTAGTAGTCACTCGCCTTACTTAATTTAAATTGATAATAATTATGTGTTTTTTTTCCTTTAATGACATATTTTTATCCAAGTGCAGCGACCGTCTTATTTTTCGAACCTGAACGTAAGTATTAATTTATTCATTTTTTAGTTCATTAAAATGGAACTCTTCAATTGAACATTTCCCTGGTAGTATATTAAAAACTCTCAATTTCTTTATTACAATCTGATATTCTCTAGGCTAGGTGTGAACGAGTCCCTAGGCGGTGTTGATGAATTGTTTACGTTCACGGCGGACCGCAAGCTCGTCAGCTTAATCGAATCCTCATCGAATCTCGTACAGTCGAGTTCTTTTTGCACCGATGCCGAGATTGTATCAAAAAAATAAATTTAATCTCGCTAATAAACATGCAAACAAGAATCCGTGGGCTACCTGTTGCAAGCGTGTGAGACAAACGATTCCTCAACCAATCAGGGAGCTGCGTCCGCCCACGGAGCTCGCTCATTGGCCGGCTAGGACAGAGGGGGGATACATGGGGAGACCGAGCCAGAGGCTAACCGTTAAACATGACACCGGCAAGAAAAGCGCCGCATTGAGCTTTCGGGAAGCTTTTCACGGGCGCGCTCGGCTTACAACGATAATCGGTGTCGCGATTAACTCATTTGTATCGACTTGGTGGTTACTTACATTATATTAGAGAATGACAAGATTCTAAATAATTTTTAAGATAAAAATAATGAACTGTTTGAAAAAGTGTCCGAATAAATTTTCAAATTAATTTTTTTAATTGACTCAATTGCTGAGAACGGAATCATGTCGCTGGGTAAACAGCCTAATGAGCATATTAAGAGGCCGATGAATGCGTTTATGGTATGGTCCAGGGGCCAGAGGAGGAAGATGGCACAGGACAACCCGAAGATGCACAACTCCGAGATATCTAAGAGACTAGGCGCTGAATGGAAACTTCTGACTGAGATGGAAAAAAGGCCTTTTATTGATGAAGCGAAAAGACTCAGGTTAGTAAAAATAATAATTCAATTAACTAAAATTATATTTACTGTAAATATTACTTACTAATAAATTAAAATATATCATCGATGAGCAGAATCCTTCAAGTTTGATTAAACACATCACATAATTTAAGAGCTTGGGTGTAACGAATTGATTTTATGAAATAATTCTGAGACTAAAAAGATCTTGATATTCTTTCTCTATTAGATTTTTCTGTACTGATATTCTTCAATAGTTTATTAATTAGGAACGGGTAGGAACGACCACCCTGCCTATTTCTATCTGATTTCTATGAAGCGTTTTCCTTTGAAAAGAATACGGCAGCCGTTGTATGGTAAAATTTCTGTCGTGAAGCAGTAATGCCTTTAGGTTTGAAGAGTGGGGCGGACGTTATACGGTAAAAATTGAAACTTAGAACTCATGTTTCAAGTTGGGTGGCGACACTTACATGGTTGAAGTCTGTCGTAACACCAGGTGAGCCGTGAGCTCGTCCAACTTAGCTAATAAAAAAAAAAAAATAGAAAAATAAATATATTCAAATATTTCAACAAAAAAAAAACTAATAATCTTCACTGCGGCAATCTGTGTGTAGCACATTCCAGCATATCAAATATTTAAAATTTCCTGTTCATTTGCAATATGAAATAAGTTTATTTTTCCCCATTACTTTATTCAAGAAAAGTCCAAATGACAAATTGTCCAATGTTCTACATTTTTTTATTTATTTTTCTTATGGATATAAAGTGTCTACATATTCTGACATAAAAGAAGTTAAATTACAAAGATAATTTCTCGTGAAGGTGGTACAAAGTATTGAGTCTCATAAAGCAATAAAAGTTAATTACATGACACTACCTTACTTAAACGATTTATAAATAGCCTTTAAATCTAACTGGGTCTGGGTCTACGGAAGGACTTCGGTTCTCACTGTGATTTGTACCGTACGTTCCATGGGAAGTGCTTTCAGGAATTGTTCAAGATGATCCCACCACCTCCTTTTTACCATCGCACGCCCCGCCACCAGAGCAGAGTACATCCATACTATCTGGAACCACTACATTCATCCAAGTTGCGTTTCTAAATATCTTTTCTGCCATATACCATCCGGCTCTAGAATAAAGGGGACTTCACGGTTTCCCGAGCGCTATGATATGTCCTTCTTCAAACGAGCGGCGAACAGAGATCAGGAAGTGGACCCAGCGGTAAACAGCTACTTCGGCTGTGCTCCTGGCATTGCTGACGCCCATGAGCGAATGTAACCACTCGCCATTAGGTGGGCCGTATGCTAGTCTGCCTACAAAGACTATATCTATACTAATATTATAAAGCAGAAAAGTTTGTTTGTTTGAACGCGCTAATCTCAGAAACTACTGGTCCGATTTTAAAAATTCTTTCAGTGTTAGGTAGCCCATTTATTGAGGAAGGCCATAGGCTATATAACATCACGGTAAGACCATACAAGCGTGCGCATAATACAAGCGGAGCACCAATAAAGAATGTTTCAAAATAGGGTTTTTTTTCCCTTTTGAGAACTTCTGCTGCGTGCGCTGCAGAAACGGTCGAAGTTTCGCTAAAATAATGTATGACAGAATTGTTCCCCTTTAAAAGATCTGAGACTCAATACAAGTGGAGCACCAATAAAGAATGTTTCAAATTAAGGGTTTAAATAGCTCCTTAACATTCTACAATTATTATCTACAGAAATATTTTCACTTTCTACATAAATGAAGTGGGGAGTAAAATTTAGCGTTATGCCAAAGTAACTATTTCACGCGGACGGAGTCGCGGGCAAAAGCTAGTATTAAAATATACCTCTCCTAATAATGTCAAGATAAAAGCCCTTTACGTAGAAGTCACTTGACTGTGTAAAATTAATGCTCTTTAAGAATAAAAATCAAACCAGTGTAATATACAAATTGAGCAGTTATCGGTAATAAGAATTTTCATCCTGTCGCTAAGTAGTTTTCTAGTTTGAAGGCCCAATCGACCTCATGTCTCAAGATGAGTCGCGGTAGGTAGTAACTTCTATGAACTCCGGTAATTAGCATGAAGTGTGCCGTCATCTCGTCTAAGCGTCTAAGCACTAAGAATATGTAAATTTGTTTTCTAGCTCCTAGACTACTAATCATGTTCGGCAAAGTCATTGCGCCTACAGAGCGTAACGATTATGAGATTCAATTAAGATTGAAAGTACGTTAGGATATAATCGAGTCTTGACTCCGGAAACTATAGACTAGTCGAAGTGAGAAACTTAGGTAGAGTTGTATTGTAATTATTTTTCTACTTTCCGAATACATATTAAATGCGTCATTTAAATAAGAAACTTTTTTTTAAACTACAAAAAAAAAAATCCATTCCGAACCATAGTTTAAAAAAATATGTTTCCTTTTTTTGTATCCTAGTGGTTATATTATGGAAAACCAATAAATTCGGCCTTAAAGTCGACGTGGCCTAACGGATGAGACGTCTGCTGCATTCGTGTTGAACGATGCGCCGGTGTTCGAATCTCAGGCGGGTACCAATTTTTCAAATGAAATACGTACTCAACAAAAGTTCACGATTGACTTCCACGGTGAAGGAATAAACATCGTGTATTAAAAATCAAACCGGCAAAATTATAATTGTAATTACTGGTGATAGGACCTCTTGTGAGTCCGCGCGGGTAGGTACCACCACCCTACCTATTTCTGCCGTGAAGCAATAATGCGTTTCGGTCTGAAGGGTGGGGCACCGTTGTAACTATACTTGAGACCTTAGAAGTTATATCTGAAGGTGTGTGCCGCATTTACGTTGTGAATGTCTATGGGTTCCAGTAACTACTTAACACCAGGTGGGCTGTGAGCTCGTCCACCCATATAAGTAATAAATTTAAAAAATCTTTTAAATTCGTAGTCGATATTTTGTAATGTACGCAAAAATATTCGAATTAATTGAATCTCATGAAGCTGAAAGTTGCCTTATGTGGAAAGATTGTCTAACCTACTCCAGCTAATAATAAAAATGTGTTCAAATTTGAAGTCATGTCTATTGTACGAGTTATATGTTTTTTTTTTATTTATTGCTGTTGTAGGCGGACGAGCATACGGCCCACTTGATGGTGAGTGGTTACCGTCGCCCATGGACTTCAGCAATGGCAGGGGCAGAGCCAAGCCGCTGCCTACCGCTTATGTACATTATATTGTGATAATTCTCAATACACATATATATTATCCATTTTCAAAAATTTCCATACACACATTACATACAATACATATATAGGTACTCAAAGTTTAGTTAAACCGGAACAAGTAACAAAACATCATAAAACCGAAAACAGCTGCTGTGTATGTGTTTGTTTGTGTGTCATTTTCACACACCTCAAAAGGTTCGATTAACTTAAAACTTTTAGAACAGGCATCCACAACCGGTGACAATGCAATAATTATATAACTTCGTTCTAATATCCTGACCAGTATCAACGGGTGAAAAAAAGAGGAAATTAATTGTTAATCCAGATTGTTATTCAACGGTATTTTTTAAATTTTGAAATTACATTCTAGAATTGCACAAGAACATTAAAACCTTTTTAGGTAGATTCATTTATTAGGCCTGATTTTACAATAGGGTTTACCGCACAGCTAAGCTGCTGTACTCTATGGATCCTATTTCAACTCATTTGAAAAACAAGCCACCATAGCGCCGATAGAAAGACTTCACCTGTCCTGGTGAAACTGGAAAGGCCTCCGGGCCAGCAGTAATTTTTCAGACATTAAAAAAAAGATAGACTTCATTCCAGAATCGGATGTTAAAAACAATCTACAAACACACTACAGAAGAGCGCGCTCTTATGATCAATGGTGTGATGATGCTAAAGAAACAAGAAAGGGTTGTAGTTCCTGTGGTGTTTGTCAAGTTACACATTTTTAGTTTAATTTTTTTTTTTTAATTAAACTTTTTAAAGCGTTTTGTCTCTGCTCGGCTATCGAGGAATAAATTCAGAAAAACCGTCTTCATCATTGTCACCTTTACTTTTTTTTAACTTGACATAATTCCAACAAGAAAAAAACTACTTCTTAACTTCATTTATAATTAAATGTGGAATACAACAGATATTCTATACTTTCTTACCGAGAATGACTTTCATGAATAATGTACAAACTATTTACTTTATTGACTTACTGAATTCGTCTTTTCGCATCAAAAGTGTACAATTTCCAAAAATATTCTAAATTGAGTTAATATGCGGAATCACCAGTATTTTTCTCATAAATACTATAAAAAAAGCATAGTTTAGTTTTAGTTTTTTTTTTGTTTACCTATGTTTTGACTACTCTTAGCAAAATGAATACATAATTTTATCTTACTTTAAAAGACAGATAATGTAACTGGTAAAAAATAAAAAATAAATATTGCAGAGATGATTATTATTAAAAATATCACATGTTAAACCTTTAAAACACTCTCCTGTAACATTAGTAAGTTTTGAGATTATACAGTTTTAATGCGAGAAGACAAATAGTCTATAACTAGCTAAGAGTCACATAAAGATTGCAGATAGAGATTATGTAGGTATAAAATTCAACATTAACAACAAAATGAGGAACAAATTTCCGTATACCAGTGCTGACATCGGAAATAAAGTTTAAACTAAAAATACCAAGTCAGGTATTAACATATTTTACTGGTGGTAGGACCTCTTGAGAGTCCGCGCGGGTAGGTACCACCACCCTGCTTATTTCTGCCGTGAAGCAGTAATGCGTTTCGGTTTGAAGGGTGGGGCAGCCATTGTAACTATACTTGAGACTTTCGAACTTATGTCTCAAGGTGGGTGGTGCATTTACGTTGTAGATGTCTATGGGCTCCAGTAACCACTTAACACCAGGTGGGCTGTGAGCTCGTCCACCCATCTAAGCAATAAAAAAAAAACCATCTAACTGCATCACAGATTCCAACATTAATTAACAAACGAAATTTTTAGTTTCTTCGTTACCAACCAACTTAAAAATCACAAGATAAACATAGCTTT